CCACTTCTCTCAGCCTCTGCTGCAGGATTCAAACCTCCTCTCACCACTCCTTGGATTATCACTACAGCCCCTAACACAGCTGCTCCTGTGCCACACAAACCATTCTTCATGTTTCAGCTAAAGAAAGGTTTCAAACACGAACCATTTATAGCTCCAGCAGCTAGCACAATCCATGGTACATAGTTTATACACAATTAATATTTGCTGAAAGAAAAAGTCACGAAGGAATAATATACATTAAGCTCTCTTTCCTATGTGATATCAATGAAATTTACACATTTTATCTAAACTATGTAATATCCCAGTTTAAATCTAATCATTGGCTCCTATTCCCCTTGGAGTAAAATACAAACTCAGTTTATATGACTTTTTGCAGTCTGGTCTCTGATCATCTCTGAAGTTTGCCTTTTTGCCCCCTTTTTCACTGCCCCCCCACCTCTTCCCTTTTACTTTCTGAATGACAGAGCTATCAAGCTGCTTTTTAAAATCCTCAAACATGCCATGCTCCCTTTGACTTTTGGGATCTTTCCATATGCTGGTCTCTGCCTGAAACATTCTTCACCCTTCACTATATGCAAGTTTTTTCTTTTCTTTTCTTTTTTTCCTGAAGGTCTTAGACTAACACACTGTATGCAAGTTAACTGCTCTCTTTCCCCCAAACTTGCCTCATCACCTCCCATCATATCTGCACACACACACACACACAGACACACACACATCCTCACTCATAACATATATTCACATGAGAATCTAATTCCTGTAAAGACTGTGGGGGCTGAATTCTGGGCAGAAATGTGGTTATAAGCATTAATCAGGCTGCATTTTGACCCATTTCCTTGTAGGTGAACGTCACATAACAATAGATGCTGACCATTTGCATCTCGAATTTTCCTATAGATAGGATTTCTGGCATTAGAGTCATTAGGCTTTTAAGAACTGCTCAAGGCGGGCGTGGTGGCTCACGCCTGTAATCCCAGAACTTTGGGAGGCTGAGGCGGGTGGATCAGAAGGTCAAGAGATCGAGACATCTTGGCCAACGTGGTGAAACCCAGTCTCTGAAAACAATTTTTAAAAATTAGCTCAGCGAGAAGGA